TCACCCAGGATCGAGTCTTGTCAAGACTCGATCCTGTTTATTTATGTGGTTAAGTTTCCAGTAGAGTATGAAAAAGTTCAATAGAGCACGAAATTCATTGGGGTCTTTAACATTGCTGGTTTGTCATCTTTTACAGCAGCTCACAGAAAAACTTGGCCATCCGTCTATTATACTTGACGCTGCGCAAATCATGTGAACCACATAAACATAGGGAGAATCACGGCCTTATCTGATTTCTTTTGTATCTGTTTATTTCCTGAAGTTGCGTTTATGGAACCGCCAAACAATTGTGTGTTACTATCAAGAAAAACATCAGATTTTCAATCATTGATGAAACCTGCTAAATGTTGCGGATGTACGCTGTAGTAAATCATTTGCTCCAGTCGCAAAGCTATCGGCTAGCAAATGCACAAGTGAGCTGCTGAGTCATTCGCCGCGCGACGCGCCGCGTGCCGCGGGCGCGAGCGACTCTGTTGCACGTCCCCCAAGGACGAGCGTGGGAGTGTGGGGCTTCTTCTCCTGCCCACCAACGCGAGATCTGCTTCTTTCAGTATTCGAGCTTGGCTGAACCTAAGAAAGCCTCTATAAAGCAGTACAGTTGGCGCAACTGTAGAAAAAGCCTCCGGATCTTCAGATATGGGGCCAAGATGAATTTTCGCATTGCAAACAGATGCAGTTATCTTGACCCGGTGGTTCACTGGTGCCCTGCTTCTCGTTGCCCTTTTCAACAACGACTTCCACCTCTCTGTCCGCTTCTTTCTGTCTGCGAAAGAAGATTGTGATGTCGCTGAAGTTACTGGCAGGGAGCTGTGTTGGTTCTTATCTAAGCAGCATGCTCTGCAGAGATTCCTGGCCTTCGTGATAGGTATCTCCCTAGTTCTTTCCGCTCCCCACCATTCCACAAACTTTCTACAATATGAGTACGTTTTGTATATAGCATTAGCGCGATGGCTGTTGAGAACATCTACACGTGTAGTCTGAATATTAAGAAAGGTTGGGTGGGTTTCGACTCTGAGACCAAACAGACCACTGGACAACGTGAAAACGATGTTGTTCATCGCTTTCGCGAGAGGACGTGTTGAAATCGTCCTAGCGAGATGTTGTACAGTCAACAATATCTGGAGTGACGAAAGTGTTCAGAAGAACAATATCGTCCGAAGTTGCTCTTTTGACATGCTTGAAAACTCTTAAAAAAGGGGGTCAATCAAGCAATGGTGAAACGGCAATTATACCATCAGATAGCGCAAAAATTCTCTTCAGGATGTACTACTGAGACGCAAGGGAGAATGAGTTTTTAATCAGCAATGAATGTACAAAAAATAGTAACACAAAACGCTGAGAACTTTCCGGACAACCTAATAGATGCATTCCTGGATATCCGAATACGCCCGCTTGAAACAGTACGGGTTTTTGAGCAACTCGGAGCACTCTTCAAAAAATCCCCAACGCGATTATCTCATGAATCCCGAAAACTTCAGAAACAATTCAAATGGTTTTTGGAAAGAGGAAATCTTCTGATATTCGACACTGGTTTTGGATTTGCAAACAGTCAAGTTTTTAGAAAATTATCTCGTTCAAACCAGGACAGTTTGCATCCGATTTCAACTCCAACTGATCTCCAACGCTGAATTTCTCTCTAAATTTGGCAACCTTTATAAACATTTCAGTATTTTCGAGAAGATCAAATCATTTTTTCATGATTGCGTTTTCCTCTTTCCCAACAGGTCTGCCTTCAAAGAAGTTATAACCCTTCGAAGGCAAGTTTCTTTACGTAAGGGGGTCTAGGAAAATGCACCCCCAGCGCAATCAAATCGCGGACTGGCAATCATGCCATTATGTATCCAAATGGCATAATTGCCAGATCCTCCCGCGCGCGAACTTGAAAACAACGGCCTGTAGGCTGGAGCAGAGCAGTGTAGATCCTGTGCAGTGCAGTGTAGATCCACAAAGTCATTCTCTCTACCAGAAGTTTTCGGAATGAATTGAGGATCCTAACTCGCTCAGTTAACAAGGAAATAGTGGGTAATCTTTATGAGTTTTGTAATTTCCGCCTGTTTCAAGTGGGAGCCTTATGGTTCATTCACATCCTTTAAGTAAACACCCGCTATCAGACACAGTTCATCTAATCTAAATTTCTCGTATAATAGAGGGGAGCGAATCCTTTCGTGGTGATCCTAGGTGTCGTGACTGCGAACTCGTTTGTCCGAAATTGACCTAGTCACACACAGAAATTCTTCGCCGGGTGATCTCCAGTGCCAAGACCGGTGGCTTCTGAAAGTCGAGGGGGCAATTTTTACTTGCACTGATTTTTGCGCATGTAGAGCGTGTTCGAAGAAACACTCGGCAAATGAAAAGGCGAAAAAACAGCAAATCTTAGAGGGAGGGGTCGTATCGATCCACCTTTGGAGAGGGGGAGGGGACAAAAACCACTAACCAATGATGTGCCCTGAATAGAACTGCTTATAAAGATAAAAGCAGCACTGGTGTGAGTAGTCTGCGAATGTGAAGGGTTGGTTTTAGCTCGTGAGTGTTTGACTGACACTTTTTGCTAGTGTGAAGAGGGAAAACTCAGTAATATAAGGTACGTTTGGAACGGTATATAGGATTTCATTTCAGTTCCTTCTGGGATAGTTTTAAGGTCGTGAAAATTCGAATCGGATGTGACTGTTGTCAGTTAGTCTTGGACGACCTGAATTTCCTCATGCCTCCTGACAAGGCTGTAGTCATAGGGAAAGTTTACTCGTGGGCTTCAGAAAGCAACTGTACATGAAAACACCGGATTATCAAAATGCTACAACTATACATGACCCGTCTATTAAGTGACGTTATGACATGAATCATGGCCGATCGGAGACAGCAAGAAATTACGACTTGGCCTCGTTGAGATTCTTCGCCAAACTGCTCGAACGTGACATGCTAGTCGTAGACAGTTTCTTTCGCACTGATGCTCCATCTCGAGCTGATAGCGAGGACATAGACGTTTCACGTGAGAGCTGGAATCATTCCTTTTTATTTATGATTAAGACATTATTGCCAATTTTGGAGGGGCCCACCCGTGTATAGGCCCACGTTGGTATCAAAAGAGAAAGTTTTTTGTACCCTTCACTTTCGAGTTTTTTTGTTTGTTATTGTGAACGATCTGTGTCCAACACTAGGCGTTTGAAAGTCAAATGAAAAATTAAGATGCAGAAGGAAAAGAGAATCTATTGCTTCTTCCTCCCACTACACTACCCAATCACAGTCGCGCGGGTCATTGACTCGTGCGGCTGTGATTGGTAAAAACAGCAGCGGGCAACACGCGACAACGATGTGTGCGACTTTGCAAAATGCGCTTTACCTTTAGAAAAAAGGGTTATGTACTGTAATATAGTTAAAATGGTCCTGTCTCCGGCTACTTCCCCCTACTGAGGTGGTTCTATAATGAAAACCTTCACCGGGATAAAAGACTGTTATCGAGTTGTTCAAACAATAGCTCGAAATCGGAAGTCCATCTTAAAATGAATTCATTTCAAAAAAAACCGATGAATAACAGAACAATATAATATCGGATCAAGAGAGCGATCTTCAAAATGACCTACTTCAACAAGCGAGTTTTGGAAAACTTCAGTGGTATCACCACGTTTTTATATGGGGATGTTCAGTGTTCGAGACCAAAGTACACTCCCTCTTTAAACCCTATTTCTTGCCATAAGTAAGGTGAATGGGTCCGCGTAGAAGCGTGTCACCTTTCCCGCCTAAAAGTGTAGGGGAACAGTCTGGGGTGATCATACCCCGGTGCCATTTCTGGAACGGCAATCCATCGGCATGGCCAAACACGCTCTTTGTCTGCGCTCTCTCACATCTGGTTGTTCTCTACCGCTGATGCGTGTTTCGGTGGGGGATCTTGGTATAAACGCAAGTGCTGCACAATGAGCATAGCGCGAGCAAAGTATGGAAACAGCACGCGGGACCACTATGCTTCAGCCCCTTCACGTGCACTTCTTGAGCAGAGCAAGTGGCACGCTTC